CACACACACACACACACACACACACATATATATATATATCCGCGCCCTCCCCCCCCCCACCCCCGAGATAGGGTCTCTGTCACTCGGGCTGGAGGGCAGTGGCGTCATTGTAGCTCACTACAATCTACCTCAAACTCCTGGGCTCAAGTAATCCTTCTATATCAGCCTCCAAGTAGTTGGGACTACCAGCACATATCATATCATGTGATTAATTTTTCTATTTTTTGTAGAGTCCAGGATCTCACTCTTGCTCAGGCTGGTCTCTAATTCCTGGCTTCAAGCAATCCTCGCACCTCAGCCTCCCAAAGTGCTAAGGTTATAGGTGTGACCCACCACACCTGGACACATTTTCTATTTTTTAAGATACTTTCTCCAAGTTCCACATTCATATAAATATATTTTAAATGGAGCTTTTCATTTTCTAAACTCAATGCTCTTTTCATCTTATAAATAGAATCTCTGCCACTTCAGCCAGAAACCTGGCCATTAGCCTTGACTGATCAATCTCTTGCTCTTTCATAACCAATCCATTACTATCATGATTCTCTTCAGGACAGTAATGGACTGTATCTTCTTCAGATGGGCCATCTCTGACCATCCAATAAAACACAGTATTGGCTGGGCATGGTGGCTCATGCCTGTCATCCCAGCATTCTGGGAGACTGAAGCGGGTGGATCACTTGTGCTCATGAGGTCAAGACCAGCCTAAGCAAGTTGAGACCCTGTCTCTAAAAAATAGCTGGGTGTTGTGGCGGATACCTATTACTTGGGAGGCTGAGGCAAGGGGATCTCTTGAGCCCAAAAGTTTGAGGTTGCTGTGAGCTATGATACCATAGAACTCTACCAAGCAAAAAACAAAAAAGCAAGAGGGGTTCAAATCCAGCCTCAGCCCACCAAACAATGACAACTACAAACAAAAAATAGCTGGGCGTTGCGGCAGGCACCTGTAGTCCCACCTACTTGGAAGGCTGAGGCAAGAGAATCGCTTAAGCCCAGGAATTGGAGGTTGCTGTGAGCTGTGATTTCATAGTACTCTACCCAGGGTGACAGCTTGAGGCTCTGTCTCAAAAAAAAAAAAAAAAAGCAAAACCACGGTGACACTCCGCTTGTTTTCCTTCTCACTGCAGCCTATTTGTTTTTTTCACAGTACACAGTACTTGGCACAATTTGCAATTATGTCAGTTTTCTTGTTTATTTTCAAACTTTCTCACTTCAGAAAGGAAAAAGGCTAAGCTACTTTGTCCAATACTAAGTCAAAGTCCTAGACACAGTTTGTGGATCAACATTTCGTGAATAACAACAGACTAGACTTTTCTAGAAAGCGTTATCTAAAGACTTCCGTATTTGCCCCCCCACCATATGGAGGAACTCTGATTCCAAAACATACATGCAGCCTTTGTGCTTTGACTTACATGTAAACGCGGCTTTTCCTCCTTTTGCTATAAAGCCATGGTGGCCAACTCATATTATTTCCTACTTGAAATGTTCTTAAATTTCTAAGTAAGAATAAATTCCCTCTCCTCTAAAAGTGTTTTTTTAAATATAACAAAACAATATATTTTAATTCATTTTCAATTTTATTATAATTTTTTCTATGCCTTATTATGTAGACTCATTTCTAAATTTTTTAAAACCAGACACTGTAATATATCAATATTCCCTACAGTATTAAGAATGTTGTCTTAAACTAGTCACTTAGTAAGTGTCCACTTCAATGAATCAATGATTTTTTGTGAGCCTATCTCAAGCACACATTCAATATCTTTTACTAATTGTCATTTGATAGGAATCAAAATTTTTAATGAGTTTTAAATAAATAAATATCTAAATAAATATTTGAAATAAAGAAAAAGAACAATACCCAAAACTGAAATTCAGTATCAAAAGTGAGTCAACTTCGTAGAGATTATTAAGGTAGCCATAATCTCTATAATTCATTCTAAATAATTAAAACCTAGTTATATATTTATTTTATTACTATTTTATTACTTCTTGGTTGCTATGGTTACAAACCAAAACAGGACTTACTACTATTTATGGCTGGAGCACTGATAAGCATTTTAATTGCTTATCACATGAATCCATTTGGAAAAGCAATGCACTACAGAGGTAAACTCTGGTCATTTGAAAGAATTCTTCCATAAAATCATATTCAGAATCTTTCTACCCTTCTCTTCCATAAGCCATAGTACTACTCCCTAATCTAAGCCCAACAGATTAAAAAAAAAAAAAAAAAAGGTCCTAAGATCAAGTACTGATTTTAGTGGTACTCTTCACAATAGTGAAGAGGTGGACAGCTGAATGGATACACAAACTGTGGGATGTATATATATACATACACACACAGTGGGATATCATTCAGCCTTGAAAATGAAATTCTGACACATGCTACAACACAGATAAACCATGAAAACATAATGATGAGTGAAATAAACCATTTACAAAAAGACAAATACTGTATGATTTCACATATGTGAGGTAGTGTGATATAATAAAAATAAATATTTAGTTTTTGTTCCCAAGACCTTTAAGATTCCAAATCCTCAGAATCTACAGAAAAATAGGCATATCTTTTATATGCTAATGAGATGACTGGTAGCTTGAGATTCCTAGATCACCTCAGTATGGGGACTGGCTGTCCAAAAGACCATAGGGCATGACTAGAGGGCAGGCACTTTCAGCTCCATCCAGCCCACCACATGCCTGACCTCCAGGGAAGGGAAGTGGCAAGAGAGTCACACATTTATCCGCAATGGCCAATGATGTAATTAATCATGCCTATGTGAACTTCCACACAAACCCTAACGACAGGGCTTCAAGACTTTCCAGGTTGGCACATACACAGAGGTGCTGAGAGGGTGGCAGCCTCAGAGAGGGCATTCAAGGGCCATGTTCCTTCCCATATGCCTTGTTCTATTTTACCTCTTCCATTCAGCTGATCTGATCAGTATCCAGTTTATAATAAACCAGTAATAGTAAGTTAAAAAAAAATAGTAAGTAAAGTACTTTTCTAAGTTCAGTGAGTCATTCTAGAAAATTAAGAAACCTGACAGAAAGAGTTGGTAGAACCTTTGCTTTTTAACCTAGTTGGGCAAAAGTGTGGGTAACCTAGAGAGTCAATGCTTGCACAATTTGTGTCTGATGGTAACTCAGGATAGTTAGTCTCAGAATTGAACTCGATTGTAGGGCATCCATTCAGTGTCCAGACAATTGGAAAATTGGTTGGCGTGAGGATTAAACCTGCATATTATGCTTCTTATATTTAAGAAGTGGTCAGCAGTGGCTAGGAAAGGGGAGAAATGGGTTGTTATTATTTAATTAGTAGAGAGTTTCAGACTTGAAAAGATGAAAAAATTCTGGGGATCTGTTTCCCAGCAACATGAATACACTTAAGAAAACTGAACAACACACTTAAAATTGGTTAATATGATTAATTATAAATATTTGTTTTTACCACAATTTTTAAAAAAATCAAGAAATTAAGAAGAGGGTGGCACCTGTAGCTCAGTGAGCAGGGTGCCAGCCCCATATATGGAGGGTGATGGGTTCAAACCTAGTCTCAGCCAAACTGCATAAGAAAATAGCTGGGCATTGTGGCAGGCGCCTATAGTCCCAGCTACTCAGGAGGCTGAGGCAAGAGAATTGCCTAAGCCCAAGAGCTGCAGGTTGCTATGAGCTGTGACGCCACAGCACTCTACCAAGGGTGACAAAGTGAGACTCTCTCTTTAAAAAAAAAAAAAAAAGAAAAAAAAAGAAACAAAGAAGAGAAGACATTTAAAAGTCTTGTTTTTTTTTCAATTTTACTTTTCTTACACTGAAAACTTACCATCGGTGGGATAACAGCAGCTCGATGCTGAAGCTGTGGCAAGTCCAATGGATTTGGTTTTATTGGGGATGAGACTAGTATAGTTCCAGTGGGGTTTAACAATGAAGGTTTTGAGTCCATAGGAAACATTCTGCAGTTGGCAATTTAAAAAAAAAAAAAACATAAATGAATACATTTTTAAGATTTCAAATATACAGTTACCATAAATCCTTTTAAGTTAATATGTACATATACATGCACATACAGACATATGTAGATAGCATTTTAGCCATTGTAAGTTATCTGAACAGCAAGGAAAAAGGAATATAATGGTAATTGTCCTAATAAAGAAACCTTATATTGACTTTCAGGTTGAAATTTATCTGAATTTAATCATCTACACCTAACCAACAAAACAATCTGAACAAAAGCCATTAAAAACTGTTTAATTCTAATTTACTACTAACATATAAACATAAGTTAAAGACGAGTTGCCTGTTACAGGATGTCCTGCTAGGATCACAAAGTATTTTTTTTAACATTTGAAGATGTCACCATTTTAAAATTGAGAATTTCACCCAAAATTCCAGGCTTCTAGCTTCTCACAAAAATTAAAGAGAACTGGGGAGGGTGATTGATGGGATCACACCTATGGTTCATCCTATAAGGGTACATGTGAATCTCTCTAAATGTAGAATATAAATGTCTTAACACAATAACTTAAGAAAAAGACATGAAGGCTATGTTAACCAGGTGGATGAATGTATTTCAAATTGTATATAGAAACAGTATACTGTACCCCGTGATAGTATTAATGTACACTGCTATGATTTAGTAAAAAAAAAAATTTAAAAAAAACAACTGAAGAGAACTGGCAATGCAGAACTAGCGCGCCCGGAGCTGCAGCTGGCCACATGCGCGGTGGTTGCTGCCGTGTCCCACAGGCAGGCCTGCGCTCCTCTGCTCACCATCGTCCCTGCCATGCCACACACTTGGACTCAAGAGTTTAGGATGCCTAGTACATGAACTTGGGGAAATCACACATTAGTGTCAAAACTTCATCACTGGGGGAAGGTGAACATTTTTAAATGTATCGATTAGTAAGAAAATTAAAACATATAAAAGAAATTTTACATATAGCATAAAGAACAAAGATGATATAAAGGTTGTAGAAAATTGGAAGTGTGATTTCAATAGTTTGGAAGCAATGGAGACTTCAGGAACCACTATATTTTTATTAACTTAAATAAATTATTTTATTGAGGGAGACAAGTTATTCTCAAATGTTAACTGGTTGTAAACAGGGAAGAAACATGGTAGAAGTCAGGTTTGTTGGTAGAGGAGACACAGTTCTAAAGGTTCTGCCCAATAAACACTCAGAATCCAAGGTTGTCATATTTCTCCATGGCGCAATTTCTTATGAGTCAATTTCCATTCTGGAGACCAAATGAGATCGGATTCTTTCAGCTATCAACCAAGAGTCTTCTCTCAGCCAAGGCATCCAGTTGAAATAGAACTTATTTTTCAGATTCCTCTGGAAGATCAGAATGTATCTTTCACATCACATTGCCATGCTCCCTGCTCTTGGTCCCCTTTTCACAGTAATTTCTGTGACATTCCTTAATCAAGATGTTGCATTCTTCAATGTGAAAGTGTGGAGAGAAACCACTATATTCTTAAAAGGAATTTCTGAATTTTAAGACTACTGTCATGCTCATCACTTAGGATGCATATCCTTTAAAATTATTGTCATCCTAATTTTGACTTCATGTACAGTTACTAAAAGCAATGCTGGAAAACAAAGATAATCCTTATTTTAAATGAGATGTTTCATTGAAGACTGCTTAAAAATGGAGTACACAGCTTGAATCCATGTATATCTGCTCCAGTTAAAGACTTAGATCATTAAAATAAAATCTAGATTACTGTGAGATAAAAGAAAAGGTGACCTAGATAGCTAAATTTTCTGGTATGATCACGATTTAGCAGGACCATTTTATTTCAATTCCTGATGATAAAAATTCTAGCATCTACTTTATAAAAATCTCTTTAAGAATCATCACTGTAATGCTTAAAATTATTATCCTAGTATCAAAAAATCATTCTAAAGAATGTAAGAAATAAAATACATTGGAAAAGGACTCGAAGTACAGTGACACTAAGGCACACCATGAAAGTGTTGAACTTTAAATAAAATGTGGCTGTCTGTTGAGTGGCTTGTCTTTTTCTTATTTAAAAAAAAAGGTGGGTTTCAGATTAAATGGTGTCTTAGATGAATTCACTTCACTTCTAGAGTTTGCTTTAATCCAACATTCTATAATGCTATGATTGTAGGAAACACCAGAAAATTAAGTATAATAAAGTAGTATCTATTCTTATAAAATATACTTTTTTACTATAATTTTTATAAAAACCATAAAGATACCAATGAATTTTTTATATTAATTTACCTTTAATGACTAAAATTTTAAATTCATTTGCACTACACCTAATATTTTAAATTACATACATGAATAAGCTAAATTTTTTGGGGGGGGTGGGGGGAGTCAGAATATCACTCTCTTACCCCAGGCTAGAGTAGTAAGAGTCAGCCTAGTTCACAGCAACCTCAAATTCTTATGTTCAAGCAATCCCCCTGCCTCGGACTCCCCAGCAGCTGGGACTACAGGTGACTGCCAAAATACTCAGCTAATTTCTCTATTTTCAGTAGAGATGGAGTATAGCTCTTGCTCAGGCTGGTCTTGAACTCATGAGTTCCCACCTTGATCTCCCAGAGTGCTGGGATTACAGGCATGAGCCACCATGACTGGCTTAAAATTTTAACTGACATAAAAAGTGGTGACTACAATTACCATTAACTTGCATTTAAATAATTGTGCTTTCTAAAATATTTTCAGAACATTTCACATGTTTCTCTTCTTAGTCTTTTCTGACATCTATGTAGGGAAAGGCAGGCCGCACTTTGAGGCTGCTCAGTCTCAGGGAAATGCACATCTGGAGCCCTTCGATTTCTCACCAAATCTCTGTGCTGTGGTGCTCAGACACAAATCTGTGGTTTATTTTCAACTCTGTTCATTAAAACTCTCCCCTCCCTTTTTGCTATCATTTATAATGCATGTAGCAAGACAGATGTAGAAAAAAATTATAATCTATTTACTTAAAAATATATAATGATTTCACAATTAGTCTATTTAAACTGATGAACAGCATGATCATGCAACAGTAAATTGACACAGCCTACCTGTGATTTGCCAATATTTATAAAGGAGTCATCTCTATAGCCAGCACTATTCTGTGATTCAGTCAGCAACCAGCAGAGTTAAGAAGAGGGTAACAGTTAAAGAATGAGTCTCACCTCTGCCTCTCTGGCTCTCCATCCACATCTTCATCAGCACTGCACGTGGCACTGGAGTCGTTGTCTGACTGGGGCTCAGGCCTTTGGGTGTTTATTTGCTGAGCCAACATCAAATCTTCATCCCTGGGCTCCATCTTTTCGCTGGCTCTCTCCAAATCTCCTTCTTTGGTATCACCTTCAACTTTAGATATATTGGTTTCTGGCACCCGCATTTCCATGTCCACAGAGTCTGCTTTGGTTGTGGCTGGGGGATCGAGAATAGAACCTGCGTCGTCACTGCGCTCTTGATGCTCTACCTCCATCGGCTCTGCCGTCTCAACACTGCTGCTGTCATTCGCCTGAGTCTCCACACTTTCATTTTCAGCTGCTTTTGTACCTGGAGCTGTTGAGGAGGGAGATGCACCAGGTGCAGGTTCAGTGCTGGACTCGAGCTCAGCCACAGGTTCAGTGTTTCCTCGAGAAGTAGCATTTTCAGGGCTATCTTCGCTGGGCTTGACAGCTTCAACTGGTGAAGGAGAAGGAGCACTTTCTGTATCAGAACTATTTTCAGCACCTTAAAGATAATGATACGGCATAAAAATCTAATAATGAACATATTTCAGGTGGGGTGACAGAAACCATGCTTCAAAGTGGTTGTTTAGAATGAATTACACTCCTTTGATGACTTCATTGAAGTATCTACTGCCATTGGGAAACCCAAAGTTTTTTAGCGCACAGAAGTGAAAGATTAAATTGTGGTAACCTTCTGAAACTGAAAAGGTAAAACCTTATAATATCTAAAAATAATTTATATCAATTTGAAAAACAAAGAACAAAACTAAACAAAAAGCATTCCCACAAATAGTGACATTCTGGTCCATTTCTACATGCCTCTTCACATGATTTTCTCTTTGCCTAGTTAAGCTAACATTCTAGAACAGTGCTTTTCAACCTTTTTCATCTCACAGCACACCTGAACCTCTAGCTAAACTTCTGCAGCACACTTAAATTATGTTGATCCAAAAAAAAGAGTATATTTACTGTGCTTTGAATGTCTTTCAAAAATAATTAATGATCTTTAAAATGTTACACGGCACACTGGCTGAAAATCACTGTACTCTAGGACAACACTGTCTAGTAGGACTATAATAGTCAATCACATCTATAATTTTAAACTTTCTGGTGGCTACACTAAGAAAGTACAAAGAGGCTGGGTGTCACAGCTCCCACCTATAATCCCAGCATTTCAGGAAGCACAGGTAGGATTGCTTAAACCCAGGAGTTCCAGACAAGTCTGGCAACATAATGAGATCCCTTATCTACCAAAAAAATAATAATTTTTTTAAAAAATTGGCCAGGTGCGATGGTCCATGCCTGTAGTCCTAGCTACTCTGGAGAAAGATGCAGAAAGATAATTTGAGCCCAGGAGTTTAAGGTAATAGGCTAGGACCATGCCACTGTACTCTAACATGGGCAATACAGCAAGATTCCTTCTCTTAAAAAAAAAAAAAAAGTAAAAAAGACGTGTAAAATTTATTTTAACAATTTATTCATTAACTCAGTATGTCTAAAATATTGTATCAATATGTAACTGAAAATAAATAATAAGATTACCTTTGCTGGTACTAAGTTCAAAATCTCGTGTACATTTTACATTTTCAGCATATCTTAATTTGGACAAGCCACATTCAAGTGCTCAAAAGCCATATGTGTCTAATGCAAAGCTCAGAATAATATTTCACAGACTTTTAATGCTATAACACAGGTCCTTCCCCGCATTGTTAGTATCATTTTATAAATATATTTTTAATGCTTTTGACATCTTTGAAATCACAAATTCCAACTGTCCTGCACTGGAGTTAAAACCAGCGCTCCCAAATTAGATTATTTTCTAGTGTTTAGTAGCCATTTAAGCAAACAAGAAACCTAGGAGCCATTTTTTAAACCGCCTTTCCTTTGCCCCTATCACTTGTTTCAACAAGTCTTACTGATTTTCTCTCTAAAATTATCACCTGAATCCGGCCAGTTCTGATCAGCTTCATACCTACCACTTCACTCTCAAATCAACCCTTCTAACCTTCTAATCAGACCATCCTCTACATCACAGGCATCCTCAAACTACAGCCCGCAGGCCACATGTAGCCCGCCTAGGACATTTATCTAGCTAGCTGGGTGTTTTTGCCGCAGCTGCCTATCCTGCTTAGCAGCCAACTCATCCCAGGGCCCGCAGTCCAGCCCTCCAACGGTCTGAGGGACAGTGAACTGGCCCCCTGTTTAAAAAATTTGAGGACCCCTGCTCCACAACAATGATTCTCAACAGATATGCTGTGGTATACTGGTGTGCCACAAAAATTTTTAAAGATCATTAAATTAAATTATTTTTGAAAGAAGTTCAAGTAGAGTAAGTATATTCTTTTTTTCCACTTTTTTTTTCTTAAGCAATATAATTTAAGTGTGCTATGGAAGTTTAACTATAGGTTCAAGTGTGCTGTGAGATTTAATAAAAAGGTTGAAAAACAGTGCTCTATAATCAAGCCAGTTATCCTTTTAAAAGTCAAATTTTTATCACAACTCAATCTCCCATTTTATCTTTCCCTGTTTCTTGTAACTTTTCAATGTAACCCCATTACTCTTAGGATGTTCCAAAATCGTCTTCATGGCCTACAATGCCCTGCCTAGTAGGCCCCTCTCCAGGTTAATCTTGCACTCTGGATTGAAGTCTCATTGGCTTTTCTTTCACTTTTTGAATGCCTCATGCATCGTCTACCACAAAGACTGTATACATGCCATTTGCCTTGACTGAAAGGCTCCTGCACCTACTTTTCCTTCAGATATCAGCTCAAATATTGCATACTTTAAAGTCTTCCACAACTCCCCTAATAAAGTTATATTTTGCCATTATAGCTCTTACAACACATTTATTGGTTACAGTTATAATTTTACTTTTATTCACAATTATTTTTGTTACCAGGCTATAAACTCCATAAGGGCAGAGATCAGGTATTTTGATTATTAAGAACTAGTGACAAGTACTAGGCTAAGCATACAGTAGAGTCAAATACCAGCTGAACCATAAGTGAATGAATGGCGATGAAGAGGTCTTACATTTGCGTAAAATGTCCTCTATCTTTGGGTCCTTGGGCTACGACCAATTTTCCCTGCTATAAACAGTAGATGAAAATGTTATAATTTTTTATAGCAGACAACATAAAAATTAAATATCCCTAATAGTAATACATAATACACTTCCGATGAGAATCCAAATTGTAAGAAAAATGTCTTAAACTATATAAACCAAGGTTGAGTTTATATAGCAGAACAAGTCTCTGCTATGAAAATTCCAAAAAGTAGTACAGTGAAGGAAGACTTGACTCTCCCGATATTCAAACTGACTATAAAGACAGTGTACTAAAACATACTTAGAACTGCCACAGTGACCAAGAAAAATAAACAGTGGTACAAAAGACACCGTCCAAAGATAGATCCCACCACAAATGGGAAGATTTATCAAAGGTATATTTTAAATCATTGAGTAAAGGATGATTTATTTAATAAAACTTCTGACAAAACAGTCTCTTTGGAAGAAAAACATGGGACCAATCTTACTCTGTACAGAAAAATGATTCCAGATTAAATAAAAATTTTGAATATGTTCAGAAAATAATTTAAGACAAGATATATGCAACTTTAGGAAATATATAGAAATATGGGCAGCTCCTGTGACTCAAGGAGTAGGGCACTGACCCCATATGCTGGAGGTGGAGGGTTCAAACCCAGCCCGGGCCAAAAACTGCAAAAAAAAAAAAAGAAAGAAATATATAGAAATATCTTAAGTAAAATAAGAAACTCTGAAGTTATAAATATGCTATTTGTATAGAAAAAAATAAAATCAAAATTTAAGCAACCATCTGGGGAAAAACTTTAATACATGACAGTATTTTAAAAACATCTATAAATTCACTGTCATTCATTCAAATATGTAAAAAGCACCTACTATGTGCAGGGGGCTATTTGAGGTACTGGTACAAACTAGACAATAAACAATAAATATGTGACATATCAGGGGTAATAAGTACGCTGACTGAATAAGGAAACTGAGGAAGCAGTGGGTGGAGAGCTGTATAGTCCAGGTGATATCTAAACAAAGGCCTCAGGGAAAGAAAAGAATGAGCCCTGGGCATTTCTTGGGGAAGAATATTCTAAGTAGAGACTTTAAAAAGTAAAAAGGCCCCTGCAGTTGGAGAGTTTGCTCAAGAACAGCAAAGAGGACAGGTACAGGTAGAGTAGAGGAAGCAAGCAGAGAAGCAGCTGGCAGTGAGTTCAGGACATACAAAGGAAGTTCATATCAGGCCTCATGGGTCACAGAGAGGCCCAGGGCTTTTATTGTGAATCAGCTGGGAAAGTACAGGGCCTGGAGTAGAGGAGAAACATGATCTATTTACATTTCATAAGGATCACTCTGGCTGCTGCATAGAAGAAAAAAATACAACAGAACAAAAAGAAGCAAGGGACCAAGCAAAAAGCTACTGCAATGGAGAGAACAGTGGCTTGTAATCAGGGTAGCAGCCATGGAAACAGGAATCCAATTCTAAAGAGTGTAAAGAAAGCTGACAAGATTCACTGACGGACCTCATGTGGAATATGAGAAAAAGAGCTCGTATTACTAAAAGTAACGTTTACTGACGGAGGGAAAAGCAATTTATAGCAGTGGAAAAACAAAAGAGTTTGCTTTAGCAGTTAAGTTTGAGGTGCCCTTAGAACCTAAGTGTAAATACTCAGTAAGTAGTTAGGCATATGAGCCTGGAGTTCAAATGAGAGTCCAAATCTCCAAAATAAAAACAAAAGACAGATAAACAAATAAAAATTCAGAACAGTGCATATGTAATATTATATGTAATACACATGTAACAAGGCCTTAATACAGTAGCAACTACCATTAGAGAAAGATGCTAGCAAAATGATGAAAAGCTAACAAAAAGCCTGACTAAACCTTCACCTCTACTAATAGAAAGCCCGAAATCTAAAGGGAAATTGACAAGTCATTTATCTTCAGAATATTAGGAGACATTTTAGTGATTATGTACCAGTTGATATCATTTGAAATAAACACTTTTTCAATTATCTCTTTCCAAGCCACAAAAAACTAGGAATATTTCAAAGGCATAATGCTTTACCAAGTGCCACGCAAACATATCTTTTTCTCCCTAAAAATAAACAAATAAAAACCTTAAAGAATGATTTTGAAGAAGAGATCAAGAGCAAATTCAAATTTTGGTAAAGTTTCTGTCTTTCTACTTTAATTCTTCTAACCATATGACTTAATGACACACTCAGATGTGTGCTAGGAAAACAGACAGGGATCTTCCTTTGCTTTCACTCTTCCACTGGCAACAGCCTTGACAAACAATCAACTGTGTAGCTATAGTTTTCTTGGTAAGATTAGCAGTCAAGTGTGAAATCATAGGTTATATGAACTGCCTTTATATTCTTTTCTTTGACACTTTCCAAATAAAGCTAAGTCAAAAAGAAATGAAGAGTTCTATTGGCAAGTTCATTTCCTAGTAACAGAAAACTATCCTAGATGACAGAAGACAATTGTGTGTATGACTGATCAGGCTGTGACCATGTCACCTACTCTTCATTAGATGGTCAGATTATTTTAATACCACACTTAGCAATTTGAAAAATGCCTCACATTAAGATAAAGTAATAGGAAGAAAACAGAAAAAAAAGTCACACTTTGGCGCTTGGTTTTGGGGATAGGCTGAAATAAATACATATATTTATGATGGTAGGCTTGGGTTTTGCTGTGAACTGAATTGTGTTCCCTCTCTAAAATTCGTATGTTAAATCCCTAACTCCCCATGTGATGTCTTTGGAACAAGGCCTTTAAGGAGGTATTTAAGGTTAAATGAGGTCATAAGGCTGGGCTCTACCTAGTAGTAGGACTGTCATCCTTACAAGAGGAAGAGAAACCCACAGAAGAAATGCCATGTGGGGACAAAGGGAAGAGGCAGCTAGCCATCTGCAAGCTGGGGGAGTCCTCATGAGAAAGCAACTCTTCGAGCACCCAGACCTTGCACTTCTAGCCTCTAGAACCATGAGAAAATAAATTTCTGTAGTTTAAGCCACCCAGTCTGTATATAGTATTATGTAATGGCAGCCCAAGGACATTAAAAGGCTTCATTACAATCCCAGTGAACCCAGCTACCACAGTGATTTTCAACCACTGTGCCATGGCATTGGCATGCCATGAGAGGATCTCAATTGTGCTATGAAAATTCTAAATGATCATTCATTAATTTTTTTTTTTTTTGAGATAGAGTCTCACTTTGTCATCCTTGGTAGCATGCCGTGGTATTCATAGCAACCTCACACTCTTGGGCTCAAGCGATCCTCTTGTCTCAGCATCCTGAGTACAGACTCCTGCCACCAATGCCCAGCTATTTTTTAAAGACAGGGTCCTCCTCTTCCTCAGGCTGGTCTGAAACTCCTGAGCTCAAGCAATCCACCTGCCTCAGCCTCCCAAAGTGCTAACATTGCAGGTGTGAGCCACTGTTTACTCTTTTTTTTTTAATTTTGAGACAGAGTCTCATTATGTTGCCCTCGGTAGAGTGCTGTGGCATCACAGCTCACAGTAACCTCACACTTCTGGGCTTAAGCAATTCCCTTGCCTCAGCCTTCCAAGTAGCTACAGGCACCCACTACAATGCCTGGCTACTTTTTGTTGCAGCTGTCATTGTTGTTTAGCTGGCCTGGGCTGGGTTCAAACCCTCCAGCCTTGGTATGTGGCTGGCACCATAACCACTGTGCTATTGGGTGCCAAGCCTGTTTACTTTTTTTTTTTTTGATCAATATAATTTAAGTGTGCTATGAGATTTAAAAAAAAGGTTGAAAAACACCCAGCTATACAGATATAAAACTATGAAAATGAATAAACTCTGCTGACCTCTTTGAAAGTACCATAAACACACCAAACTGCCTTTCATTGTCTGCAGCACTCTCATAACACCCAGGGTGAGCTTACTCTAATATTCTCTTTATTCTTCTAAAGATGACCTCGTTAGGCACAAAAAACTCACATTAAAAAGTTTACTTATTGTTCAAAGCCAAAACCCATTTCAAGATAAGTTTTGTTTTTTTCTTTTTGAGACAGAGTTTCACTTTGTTGCCGTTGGTAGAATGCCAGGGCATCACAGCTCACAGCAACCTCAAACCTGTGGCTCAAGCAATTCTCTTGCTTCAGCCTCCCAAGTATCTGGGACTACAGGTGCCTGCCACAATGCTTGGCTATTTTTTTTTTCTTTAAGAGATGTGGTTTCACTCTTGCTCAGGCTAGTCTTGAAATCCTGAGCTCAGGCAATCCACCTGCCTTGGCCTCCCAGAGTGCTGGTATTACGGGTGTGAGCCATGGCACCCAGACTTAAGATGAGTTTTAAGTTTAAAAGACAACAACAACTTGTAGGAAAAGTATCATAAAAACAAAATCTAATATTTCTAAAACTGGATAGTGTAGGAGAACTTTCTAAGCTTATGTAAAATATAAGACCCTACAAAGGAAAAGATAAACACAATTACACCCAACATTTAAACAACAGTAATTCCAAAATAAAACAAAGCAAAAGAGATGAAGTTATTTGCATGTACAAAACATGAACATGAAAAGCTCCACATTAGAAACAATCAATTTTCAAAAGAAATACACAGAAACTATAATAGCAATGTGAATTGAAATAAATTAGGTACTTTTTTAATCCTTAGCAAAAATCAAGAAAATATTTCCTTTTTCAGGAAGTTGTAATTGATTTAAGTTATAAAACAGATTTTATTTCTTCAGTTTTTAAAGTTTCTTGGGTTAATTTGTTTCTCTATTGGTACTTCTATGATCATTAATTCTTTTAACATGGAAATAATTTTTACAGAGATTTACATATATTTATATGTAAATTATATTTATATGTAAATCCCTACAAAAATATGAAAGCAAACAAGGCAGTAAAATAAATAAATGTTAACTGATACTAACTGAATAATAAATGTAGCAATGATACAGATGCATAAACATGTTATTGACGCTGGCAGTCACTGTCTGCAGGGGGAATGACATTTTCAAGATCTTCTGGTGTAACACTGTCCTAGACCATCTTAGGTGCTAAATATTTGTTGATTAAATGAAAAAAAAAAATTATGTTCAAGTCTGAAGTCTATACCATGAAAATACAGATATACTACTTCCTTAATGAAGCAATTTGAATAGTCAAATGACAAAGTTAATGTTGTATACCTTTGGGATAGCAGAAATCACAACTAAATTTAAGATTTTGAGATACCTTCACTGTCTTCTGGATTTTCTTCTTCATTGGAGGCTTCAATATCTTCATCCTCCTGAGCAGAGACAGTGGAAGCAACACTTTCACACTGGGACACATCTCGCTCTTCACGAGGTTTTCGGGAAGTCTTAAGAAATAAATGATATCAAATTGTTTAAATGACTGAAAAGAAAAAACCTTTTGATTTCTGAAATAATGTAGAATACTGGTAGACACACACACCACATAAAGAGACTGCATGTTTGACAACAGTTCTGGTGAAAGTGCAGGCAGGTATCTTTGGGTAACCACTAACAGGTCTTTTGTGCAGATGGCTTCCTTTCACCAAACTGATCAAAAGCAATGTCTGACCCATTTTTGAAATTGTTCATCACTATACATGTTCAAATAGGCCCAAATAAAAAATCTCTATACTCTTCTTCCACTCCAGATAATGTATCATTCTAATAAAAATAACAAATATTTTCCAATAAAGGTATTTCAACATACTGAAATGTGGAAGACATAAAATCACATCCTAAAAATTAACTGCTCAAAATTCCAACAGTCAGAGAGTCTAAGTATAGTGGTATACTTCCTGCCAATCTTTCAGATGCACACAGATGTATAAAAACAAAATAAATAGCCCTATGTAGTTATATATCCTTTTAAAATTAAATCTAGTATCGTCATCAATTGAGCATATCACTGTTATAAAATTTTCAACATTTTTTATTAATGATTCCATAAAATATCTTTATCAACATATAGTTCAAGTCTTCCTATTTTATGGCACTTGATTTTCAATTTTTGGTATAAACAATGCTGCACTAACTTCTTTTACTAACATTAAGAATTATGCAGTTTTAGACATGAGTGTTACCACTGAATTTGTTTACTACCAAATTTCTTTTGCCATCAGTAGGAACATAATAAGGATAAAATTTCCTTTTCTAAAAAAATAATGTTCCTTTCTGCCACCTATGTATTTATACAAAATTGCTCCTTCCTCCACTGGGGTCACTTACCTATAAGAGAGTATATGTGTACTTATTGAAGTGGAAGAAATTAGTTACTTACATTATATTTATAATCTCATGTTGCTAAATTGAAGGTTTATTTTCTCCTGCGTCCGCAGCCCCAGCTTCCTGGCAGCCCCAGCCCTAGCAGTTCTCTGCTTTGTACCCCTTCCAGAACCTATGTTTCACCTCATTTCAGCTGTCAGTCTCAAAGTTACCAGTATGTCTGGTCATTATTCTAAGTTTTCATATGAGAATGCTATGTAGGATCTGGCCTAAAATATAAATTAACTCAAGAGAAACCAATGTTTTCCAATATTGGTCAAAAAACTAGGTGAACTACAAAAGGCTAAAAAATTCATTCCTATGTTCTTAGTGGCAATGCAAGGGAAGAAGTTCACACACTGGCCATATTTTTTTAAAAGCTTTCAGAAGATCCCATGAATGCTATCTTAATATTTTCATACATTAGAAAATACATAATAGCTATCATATAGATTTTTCTGGTGTCCTGTGCTAGTATTAACCCACTCGTTTGGTCCTTTCACCAATGACAACTTCGTACCACAACTGTACAACATTCCTCTGTTCACATGTAATAGTCTACTTCTTCTCTATATGGTGGTATTTATTAATTTTTAATGTAAAAGTTCATATATATGGAAATAAATCACCCATGTAGTCACCACCAAGATTTTACAAATATTAATACATTTTACCATGTTTTCTTAAAATTTTTAAAAAGCTGAAACACTCTAGATAAACTGAAGCCAGGTGTCTCTATTATTTTGTTTTTTTTTTTGAGACAGAGCCTCAAGCTATCCCCCTGGGTAGAGTGCCGTGGCTTCACAGCTCACAGCAACCTCCAACTCCTGGGCTCAAGTGAGTCTCCTGCCTCAGCCTCCCAAGTAGCTGAGACCACAGGTGCCCGCCACAACGCCCGGCTATTTTTTGGTTGCAGTCGTCATTGTTGTTTAGCCAGTCCAGGCTGGATTCAAACCTGCCACCTTAGGTGTATGTGGCTGGCGCCTTAGCCACTGGAGCCACAGGCGCCGAGCCTATTATTTTAATTGTAATTAAAATGATTATAATAAAATGTTTGGAAGATGTTTTGATAGCTAATTTTATGTATCATCTTGGATGGGCCACAGTACTCAGATTTGGCCAAACATTATTTTCATTGTTTCTGTACAAGTGTGTTTAGGGAGTAAGATTAACACTTAAATCAGTGGACTCTGAGTAGATTATCCTCCATTATGTGAATGGGCCTAATCCAATCAAGAAGGCCACAAAACAAAGACTGACTGTTGGCTCGGTGCCTGTAGCTCAAGTAACTAGGGCGCCAGCCACATACACTGGAGCAGGCGGGATCACATCCAGCCTGGGCCCACCAAACAACAATGACAGCTGCAACCAAAAAATAGCCGGGTGTTGTGGTGGGCGCCTGTAGTCCCAGCTACTTGGGAGGCCAAGGCAAGAGGATCGCTTAAGCCCAAGAATTTGAAGTTACTGTGAGCTGTGATGCCACAGCACTCTGCCCCAGGCAACAGCTTGAGACTCTATCTCAGAAAAAAAGGAAAAAAAGACTGACTATCCTAGAATAAGAAAGGATTGTACTAGGAATTTGCCTTTGGACACCAACTGCAACTTCTCCCAGAGTCTCTTGCCTGCAGCCTGCCCCATCAGACTTTGGATTCACCAAGATTCTACAATCATGTGAGCCAATTCCTTAAATAGATAAGTATCTCTCTCCATGCATATATGTATGTATGTATATACGTATGTAGGTGTGTACATATATATTGCTGGTTCTGTTTGCCCAAAGAACCCTAATGTAACATTTATACTTAAAAACATATCTGATTCATTATTTACTTGAATTTCTCCCAAAATATTTTGGATGGTATCTCATGAAGTCAAGTCTTTAACTTGTCAGTAGACTCTTTTTGGTTTTGTTTACTTTCTTTTCCTTTACGTTTTGGTTGCTACAGGATTATTTTTAACTTTCACATTCTTATTTTTAACCTAAAAGCTCCCACCTTTTTATTTCAGACAGTCCCACTTTGTCACTCTTGGTAGAGTGTCGTGGCATCATAGCTTACAGCAACCTCAAACTCTTGGGCTCAAAACATCCTTTTGCCTCAGCCTCCCAAGTAGCTGGGACTACAGGCTCCCAACACAATGGCTAATTATTTTTAGAGAAGAGGTTTCGCTTTTACTCAGGCTGGTCTCGAACTCCTGAGTTCAAGCAATCCACCTACCTCAGTCTCCCAGAGTGCTACGATTACAGGTGTGAGCCACACCAGCTCTCAACTTTTATGTCAGTCAGTGTTTTACTTTGTATGTTCTTAATTTTAAGTTCAAATTCTAGTAAGTTTAAATATCTGCTTTTTCACTACCATTCTATCATTCTTTAATTATTCTCAAACTTTTTGGTCCAAGGATGCAACACTCTTAAATCCACTGCATGTCAACCTAAAGAACATATTTTATATCAAAAATATACATTTTCCCCAAACAAAATGTAACTTCTTGGAAAAGTGGCATTGTTTTACCTTTCTGGAAACTAATATCTGGCTTAACAGAATATAGCACAATTTTCAGAGGTGCTTCCCCATATAATGTAATTTGAGGATACCATGTTGTTCTGAAGTATATGAGAAAAACCTGGCTTCACATAAATAATGGACATGGAATAGCTGGAAAAGGGAAAAGTATTTTAATCGATTTTTCAGATTAGTAAAGATAGATATTATTCTTTGATACTATACCAAGATTCAGCAAATGCTCCTTTCTTAAAGGTTAGTTCCAGTGTGAAATCTGAAACTCTATCAGAGAACTTTCTGTAACCTACTTTACTAGAATCTGTTCATCTGTCTTACACTTTGATATATCTAAAAAACATTTTTATAAATCTTATCAATGTATGACATCAATTGTGAAATCATGAGTTGGTCATTTGAAAATACTGAGTCAAACAGATTTTTCAAATTTGGATATACTTCATTTATACAATACCAAATATCATATTGCCATGATCCCACTGATCTCATCACACAGTTTGTAATGAGAAAATGTTAAGCTCATGGTAAGAGATACACTTTTCCAAAATTCATGGTTTTTGTTTGAAAGCTCAAAATTTTTAAATGGTAAATAGTATCAGTTGTTTTCTTTGAAAGACAAGCTCACTCATGTATTCCCAAGAAAATATCCAACAAATATCCACATCTGAAAACCCACTGTTTATCTGTCATTCTTTAAATTAAAATGATATTACTCCATGAGGTTAGTTCATCTTAGTTCTTTTCCTTGAGAGAACCATCAGACTTTTGTATAGAGAAGAAAGACTTTATGAATATTTTCCATTTCATCATCACAGAATACAAAAAAGTCATATACTGTCAGGTACAGCGGCTCACGCCTATAATCCTAGCACTCTGTGAGGCCCAGGAGAGTGGATGGTTTGAGTTCAGGAGTTTGAGACCAGTGAGAGCAAGAATGAGACCCTGACTCTACTAAAAATAGAAAACTAGCCAGGCCTGATGGTGGGCACCTGTCGTCCTAGCTACTTGGGAGGCTGAGGCAAGACAATTATTCAAGCCCAAAAGTGTGAGGTTGCTATGAGCTATGACGCCATGGCACGCTATCCACAGTGACACAGTGAGACTCTGTATCAAAAAAAAAAGAAAGACATGCACTAAAAGGTTAAGATTTAATAAAACCATTTTTATTGCTTTATCAAGGACATTCTTAAGTGAAACTGGCATTTTAAGAAAAAACAAAAACTGGTTGGAAATGAAAAATACATTTGAATACTAGCACACTCTCATACCCTGCCATGATCTATACTAAGGTATCAGCCGTTTTACCCACCACTGCTTTGACACCATCAATGTGAATGTCAAAAGTGGAAAAAAGCAAGTAACATCTTAGTATTTTTCTGAAAATCATAGTTTTGACCTCACAGAGCCCCTAAAGGGCTTTAAGAACCACTACACTGGAACTTCCTTGTTAAGAAATTTTCAAAAATCTTATAATCTCTGATTTTTAATATTTATTCTATGGAATCTTTTCTCTGAAAAAACTTTTTTTTAAATATATAAAATCAACTCATGCAACATGATCCACAGAACTCCACTAAAGTTTTCAATTTGAACTCCAAAGGTTTATATTTTTTGAATCAAGTCTACAGTAAGTCAAGAGTACTAAATTCCTACAACTACAAATAGAAACCTAACTCCTTGAGCAATAGGGAAATAGTTAAACTATGCTGAGATATTAGCACAATTTTTACAGGTAAAAGCAATAAATAAAAATGCAAGACCCAAAAAAGTTTCTCTCAAAACCAGTCTCTGAACCTTAAACAAACAAAGGCCAGGTGCAGTGGCTCACACCTATAATCCTAGAACTCTGGGAGGCCAAGGCAGGTGGACCGCCTGAGCTCAGGAGTTTGAGGTCAGACTGAGCAAGAGTGAGATCCCATTATCTACTATAAAAAAAAAAAAAAAAAAAGCCAGGAATTGTGGTGGATGACGTTGCTATGAGTTATGACACCATAGTACTCTACCCAGGGCAACAGAGCGAGACTCTATCTCAAAAAAAAAGAAAGAAAAGAAATGAAAAAGAAAAAAACTACTAACTAAAAACCAGTAATCAAAATACACACACTACCCTTGAGATACTCACTTTCTGTTTATGCTGCTGCAAGAGGTTGTCAAGATTGTGTCGCCTTTTATAGTTAAAATAGAAGTTTTTACATTGAGCTTCACTTTTAGTTCCCACCATTTTGGCAATTGCTGCCCAGTTACGACCATGTTCTACTAGACCTATATTTTAAAGATAAAGGTAAAATATTAATTGAACAGTCACCTCATTAAGCAAGAGAAATAATAAATCAACTTTAATCATTAGCACTAAAACTGTGCTTTCAATTACTTATAATACATACTTCAATATTTACTGAAATACTCATTGACTCATTACTCATTTATAGCTCTATATGTTCTCCCCGAAATTTAAAACATGCTCCTTAAAGGAAGGATAGCTATGTACCTCCCCTGGGGCTAGAACACTGTTAAACTCATAGTAATAGCTCAAATACTTGTATTTGATTAAGTACTTTTACATTTCTGAAAATAGTATATCAATATAAAGTTAATAAAGTAATCAAATATACACAATACACATAAAATAATAAATGACTCCACATTTGTCCTTAAGTCAATTCGCCATTAAGCAATGCCCTCAAAAAAAAAAAAAATTAACCAGTTTAAAAAATTTCTATTGTACCACAATGAAACCTACAAGTTTCAGTTTAATACTCCTATAACTAATCAATACACATATACATACACACATAAACACAACAAAGATATGCAAATATGGTATATGTATACATGTAGAAAGCTTATTTACAAAGATATTCATTACATACAAGTATTCTGACAGCAGAAATTTTCAGTACAAATGTAATGATTTATAGTGAAACATCAGATTTTCAAGGTTCATATAAGCAGCTCCCTTAATAATAAAAATTGGAAAATCAGTTTCAAATCCCACCGATATATGAGTAAAAGACAAAAAGAGCAGCAACTAAAAGTCATATGTAGGTATATCTGCCTGAAAAATCACTTTACTTACTTAACCATGAAATTTTGATGGTAAGAATGAATGCAAATCTTTCTGAAAAATATACAAATTTGGCATTTGCTAATCGTGGCAAACAAACTTCAAATAAAAATATTTGGAAGACAGAATGCTTTAAACTGCTTTATTTTTGGTAAAGTTGCCTTATGTATGATTCTAATATGTATCATTCAGTTAACTACTAAATAAAAAATAAATACAAAATGTGTCATTCAAAGGTCAAGCGACTTGTACCTCTTTAAAACTGCAAGGTAGGCTCGGCGCCTGTGGCTCAAGCAGCTAAGGCACCAGCCACATACACCTAAGGTGGCGGGTTCGAATCCCCAGCCCGGGCCCACCAGACAACAATGATGGCTGCAAACAAAAAAAAAAATGGCCAGGCGTTGTAGCGGGCGCCTGTAGTCCCAGCTACTTGGGAGGCTGAGGCAGGAGACTCGCTTGAGCCCAGGAGTTGGAGGTTGCTATGAGCTGTGATGCCATGGCACTCTACCCAGGGGGATAGCTTGAGACTCCGTCTCAAAAAATAAAATAAAATAAAATAAAACTGCAAGGTAGGCTTGGCGCCTGTAGCACAGTGGTTATGGCTCCAGCTACATACACTGAGGTTGGAGGTTCAAACCCAGACAGAGCTGGCTAAACAATGATGACAACTGCAACAAAAATTAGGCACGCGTTGTGGCGGGTGCCTGTAGTCCCAGCTACTCGGGAGGCTGAGAAAAGAGAATTACTTAAGCCCAAGAGTTTAAGGTTGCTGTGAGCTGTGATGCCATGGCCCTCTACCAAGGGCAACATAGTAAGACTCTGTCTCAAAAAATAAATAAAAATTAAAAAAAATTAAAACTGCAAGGTAAATATTTAACCATCAAAAGAGTTAGCTAATCTTACTCAACATTAACAATTATTTATCCTATTAGAAATTTTAGTTCAATTTCTAACTATACTACATTAATAAGCAAAAAGAGAAAAATAAGATCTACAAAGTTTTGGAGTTAAGATGAAGACTACACAGCTAAAAAAGTGGTAGAGACAATTCAAACCTTGGTCTGACTCGTTACAAGTTCATGTCTCACCTCTGAATCACACTGCAATTTCTTAGTGGTTTTCAATCAAACCAAATGTAAATTGAACAAATATTTACTATAATCTTAAACGCAGCTTTTAAATAATGGAAACAGACTTTCTATCAAAACTCATACCAAAATAATTTGGAATGTAATCCTAACTATTCTAAAAGAGTGAAAGTAGCCTACTTGCTCCCTAATAAAATGACATGCAAAATAAAAATGTACAGAGAATCTTAAATACCTCAAATTTGGGTGTCTTAAACAAGGTTCACTGGTGGTACCTTATTAGAAACTACACTATCAAAAAGAACTCTAAGTTAATTCTATTTGCCTTTTAGAAAAATTTTCTTTCTTTATTTTCTTTAGTGGTGGGTCAATTAAAAAAAAAAATCAGTACCATCTCATTCCTGACTATTAACTCTAAAAAACCAAAACACTGAGAAATCAGAAAACTTACCTTTTTTGGCAACTTCCATCTCCTCTTCTGTCCATCGAGAGGTCTCTACAGGCTCTGTGGAAACTGAAATAAAGAGAAAACCCAATCAGGCAGAGAAAAATAACGTTAAATCCTTCACTCCATTTAAACTATAATCTATTTATATATCTGATACAAAAGCCTGTTTAAAACATTTGATTAAGGAAACTATGGAAATAGGATGGCATCAGCCTCTCTCCTATTGAACTAGAACAACAAATTCAACACTTCCCAGTGTTATACTTTTCAATGTTCTTGAAAGTACCATCCATGTCTACATTTTTGAACATCTTTAGCTTATTTTTGTCTTTTTTTTTAGACAGAGTTTCACTTTCTTGCCCTCTTTAGAATGCCATGACATCACAGCTCACAGCAACCTCAAACTCTTGGGCTTAAGAGATCCTCCTGCCTCAGCCTCAAGTACCTGGGTGCCCAACACAATGCCTGGCTATTTTTGGAGACAGTGTCTTGCTCTTCCTCAGGCTGGTTTGAATTCCTGAGTGGAAGCATTCCAGTCACCTCAGCCTCCCAGAGTGCTATTATTGTAAGTGTGAGCCACCATACCCAGCCTTTAACTTATTTTTGAAGAAATTACTTAGTGGAGAAGGCACTGCCTTCTGCCCCTCCAACCCTCCTCTCTCAGTCAAAGGAAGCAACAATCCTCCTCTTTCCTATCCGGATAAGAGTCTTTCTCCTCTTCTCTGAACACCACCTCATCCTCACTCCTGGAGACTCTTGTTCATCACTGAGTGTCTGCCATTCGGTAGGCATAGATGATCATGAACTGAGACTATCAGGCACAATATGGGCTCCTGCTATATTCCCTGTCTCAATTAACAGTACCATCATCTACTCAGTCACTCAAGTTATTAACAGGCTCCTGAGACTGATCTCAGGATACTTCCTCCCATTTACCACTCGTACCCAATGACATGGGTCAACTCTAATCTCATGAATCCATCCCTCCCTTGCCTGGGCCACTGTGTACAAAACAGAAGTCCTTTTATCTGGTCCCTCTGCCTCCAGGCTAACCTGATGGCCAGAACTGCCACCAGAGCTGTCTTCTTAAGACACACATCTAATCCTTAGCACTCTTCTTATTTAAAAACCTTTGCAAGCTCTCTACTTTGAATTCAAAGCAACAAGACTTATCATGATCTGCCCCCAGCCTATCTTCCATCCTCCTGTCTAATTAGTTCTCCCACAAATTAGTGTTTTTGCCATTCCCTGAACTTGTGTTTTCCCTCATCCTTCATCTCCCAGTAAAACTGATACCACTGAACCACAGATGATGGTACTTATCATTAGCATACTCCTTTTTTAAGCTAATGAGACAACACCCAGTAAGAGAGAAAAGGATGCCTGGACTCTTAATCCGGTATTCCCTTGCCAAAGAATTTGTTCCTATGAAAAGTAATTTCAAAGAAAAAAAATGCTATGTAAATAAAGACATTTTTCATTATAGAGTTATCCACATGTATTGCTTTCAAAGAGAGTCAGGGGATAGCCTCATCATTCAGCAATAGGGGAATGGTCAAACAAACCTTATCTCAATATTATACAGCCATTAAAGAGCAATGGAGTTTACTCAAAAATTAGGAAATATTTGTGATATATACTAAGTGAAAACATCAGAAAACAAAGTAACACGTACCACAAGATCACAGCTAAGTAAAAATGAAAAACAGCTATATTCTATATTAAGGTCGCAGAATTATGACTGATGTTCTCTTTCTTCTTCCTTTTCTTTCTTTTTTTTGGGGGGGGGATGATGTTCTTTCAAAAGGCTTTGGTATTAACGTTTAAAAAGTTTAAAGACCACACTTGAGGATTCTTTTTTTATTTGTTTGTACTTTTTGAGGCAGAGTCTCACTATGTCGCCCTCAGTAGAGTGCTGTGGCATCACAGCTCACAGCAACCTCAAACTCTTGGGCTTAAGTCAGCAATTCTCAACCTGTGGATCGTGACCCACAGGAACTGTATTAAAGGGTTGAGAACCACTGGCTTAAGTGATTATCTAGCCTTAGCCCCCCAAGTAGCTGGGACTACAGGCACTCACCACAACACCTGGCTATTTTTTGTTGTAGTTGTCCTTTCTGTTTAGACAGCCCGTGCTGGGTTCAAACCCACCAGCTTTGGTGTATGTGGCTGGCGCCATAACCACTGTGCTACAGATGCCGAGCCTTGAGGATTATTTCTATTAAAAACATACATCTGTCCTATCCCAGCACTGAAAGCAAAATCCCAAACAAAATTACGACCTATCCATGCCAATCTCTCCCACTCACTGGGTTCTGGTGGCGGTGGCAGAGGTGGAGGAGGCTCTTCGGTGGCCGCTGCAGCTGCAGCACTGGCAGCTGCAGCTTCATTCGTCATGGACCTGGTAATGCGCCCCTTTCGGCGGCCCTGACTGTTGGCAGTCTTTCGCCCCCGGGGTGTGGCCTGCTCTCTCTCTTCAGTTTCTTCTGTTGTACCTTCCAGCTTATCTTTTTCCTTGGTATTTTCTCTGGACACAAAACCAAATGAAAACTTGTATGATTTAGAAGTACAGAGACATCAACGTTTTAGTCTTGAACATTCTTTAAACAGAAATTTAATAAAACTCCCGGATCCCTCAGTTACTTAAAAAAATTATGAAAAATTCTGCTATGCCATAATTTTGAGAAGCTCTAACTGGCTCAAATTAAGATGTTTTACATATTAATGGACTTCAATGTAAACATGTTTCGAAATAACGCATTTGGAAGCTAGAACATTCCATGAAGAAATAACAAATGGCAGCAGAAACCCCCTAGATCGACAATTCAGAGGCCACCAGTAAGCACAGCAACAGGCAAGAAGCTGGGGGTTCATCCTGCCTTGGCTCGAAGTTATCTTATCTATAAATTGAAGACGGTGTAACAGATGATCTTCATGATAGATGCCTTTTCTGCAGTTATAATCCATAATATTGTTTTATTAAACCAGACTCCATGTCCAATACTAATTATGTACAAAAAGGGCAGTACAACTTAGTAGTAGGGAGCACAGCCTCTGGGGCCAGGCTGTCTGGGCTCATACCAGAGCTCTGTGGGTTTAACAGCCATGCGATTACATGGGACAAGCTGCCTCACCTCCATAGACTCAGTTCTTCATCTGTAAACTGAGGATAACAGTTTATTTCATGGCACTGTTGCCAAGACTAATGGAGTTACTTTTACATAAAGTGCTTAGAACAGTGCCTAGAATACAGTAAGTATCACATTTGTTTGCTGTTATTAAGGCTAAACCTCTCTCATAGTCTCAGGCACTTAGATAAAACTTAACAAATGGTAGTTACTATTAATAGCAGTAGTACTATAAAATAATATTAGAAGGCCATTCTCTGTACTAGTTATCTCCCACGGCTCTTATATTTAAGAATAAGTTACTTAATGTGTATTTTTACAAATGAATGGATAGATGGCAACACCCAAAGACTCAATTATTCTTACCTAATGGAAGATCCTGACTTTTCTGAACTTTTATCAACTTTAAGTAAAGACCTATTATATAATAGTTCACTAACTTCTAGACTTTCCCCCCAAAATTTTATTTTAAATAAAATTGAAAATAATTCTTTCCCCCTCATCCTAAATTGAAGTTACTATGTAGCTCTTTCCTTTCACGTCATCGTTCCCTGTCAATCTGGCTTCTGTTCTACAGCCTCTTGTTAAAGATGTTTTATCAAAAGAAATTAATAACTATATTACAAACTGGAAAATCAAACGACCTCTTCTCACATTGTCTTTCTGCTACAACTGACACTGTGGACAATTCTTCCTTTTCTATGCTTTTCGACTTAGCTTTTAAAATATCCCTGCTGCTATTCTGGCTCTCCTTTTGGAGATGGCCTTTCTCCTCTCATCCTTTCATACAGGGATTCCTCAGGTCTCTACTCTGGAGCCTTAGATCTCTGTAAGGTTAACTATTCTCATCAATTCTCCAGGGATAACTCCTAATCTCTACATTAGGACTCACCTCCTACCTTCTAAGATCCAGATTTGTCTTCCCAACCACCTGCTAACACAGCCACTTGGATTTCCCATCACCTAGACGGAACGTATCCTAAGTCATGCTCATCCTCAACACTTGTTTCTTGCTCTGCCTCATGAGATGTCTGTTAACAGTCCTACCATGTTCATAATCATCAGGTTTACAGGTTGGACATCATCTGTAGCTCTCTCACCTTTCCTTTACTTCCTTTCTCAGGCCACATTTTGATTACTGCATCCACTATCTACCACTATTATACCTATACCTTACTATCACAATCCTGGTTTGTTTGTTTTGGGTAACAGTCTCCTTCACTCTCCTATCTCTGTTCATGCCACACTGCCAATGATCAACATTCTTGTGGGACAGCTTTGGCAATAAACCACTCCATCCATTCTCATCTCTACCTGACTATTTCCCAACAAACCCACAATATAGCTCCCTGAGAAAGTCTAACATTTTAGCTTTGATTAAGGTTCTACATAATCTAAGCCCAATCCACATTCCATTTCTCTTCTTCACATACATTATGTACCAGTCCAGTGAAATCATTCTCTGCATTTCTCAAAGCAGGGTACCTACACATGCTCCTCCCTCTACTTTATCCATATTAACCACTAGTTCTGCATGAAGTCCTCCAAATTCATCAGGCAGAAGTAACCTCAACCTGTTTTCAATCTCCCAACATATTTCAGTGGTTCTGTTCATTTCTTATTTCCAGGTTTTTTGTTTTTTGGATTTCGTTGAGACAGAGTCTCACTCTGTCTCCCTGGGTAGGCTGTTGTGGTGTCATAGCTCACAGCAAACTCTTGGGCAAACAGTTATGACTGTTGTGGTGTCATAGCTCAAACTCTTGCCTCAGCCTCCCAAGTAGTAGGGACAATAGGTGTGCGCCACTACACCTGACTAGTTTTTTTATTTTTAATAGAGATGGGATCTTGCTCTCGTTCAGGCTGTTCTTGAACTTCTGAGCTCAAGCAATCCACCTGCCTCACCCTCCCAGAGTGCTAGGATTACAGGCATGAGTTACTGTGCCAGGTCAACTTCCAAGTCTTAAAAATTATTTTTTAAATAGTACTAGTACCTTGCCTAATTCTATTCTACTACATCATAAATTACCTGGGAATACTACATATTGTATGTAATTTGCATCTTCCCTAAGACCTAGCTCATACAAGTGATAAAAGAATGCTTACAAAATAATTTAGAAATTTTAAGAAAAAAATTAATATATGATAGGTTCTACCTGAATATGGTATAATTTTTTTAATCATAACCAAATGTGTGATTTACTTTAGAGCAAAAATATTAAAACTGAGTTTTTTTTCCCAATAAAGGGGAGAAATAACAATGAGAGGTTATACCCTGGTTACATGTTAATTACCACAGAAATAAGTATCTTTTAAAAATTGAAGTCTTTGACAGTGTTTACAGATCAACCCCAATGTTACATACAAACAGTTCAGCAAATAAACTGACATTACTGCTAGTCTCCACTTAATTTCTTTGTAATATGACTGTCTGGTGTTGCATTAGTGAAGATACTTCCTACAAATACATGGGTACCCCAGAGACTATGACAAATCACTTTACAGCATCCAAGATCATCAACAGAGAATCCTGGATGTTGGGAGCGTTCATCTGTTTCAAAAAGAGTGTTGTTTGTACATGGTCCAAAAAAATGCCAAATCTGATGATGGGTCAATAAAGTCAGACCAGTATCCTTCAGTTCAAAGAGTACCGCACATTTCCTTAGCACCAATGATGAACTTTTCTAAGAGCATTTATTTCTCTTTCAGTTTCTACCTAATCACTCCATTCACTCAGAAGACTCAGTCTTCTGTGTTACAGTCAGAATCATTAGTTTGCTATTAACTACTTCTGGAAATAGTGATTCAAAGTTATCTTCGCAGCAATTCTGGACCTGTTTGGATTGCGGTGTTACTTTCTTGTTCCACAGATGTATCACTACCCTGAAGCTCATTTACATTGTGCGCCATCACAATGTATATCTTTCACTTGATAAAAGGTTCTCCTAGAACATTAGGCAAAGTTTTATGAACCAGGCTTTTCTTCTGTGAAGCAATCCCATTGAGATGACAATCAAAACCTAAATTCCCAGGAAACTGGAATCTCTGCTTTTGAGGTCCAAATGGTCCCATAGTTGCATCAGGCCAATTTGTTCGAGAGCATTTATCTGGAGGTGCAGTGGCCACATGAGACTCATCAGAACCTGATGATCCTGCAGTTGAAAAGGCTTTGGGATTGACAACCCTTTTAACTAAAGAGCAAAACCCTGGGAGACAGGAAACCAGTCTGGCTCTGTTACAAAGCACAGCCAGCAGCGAGTGAGAGGACTGTTGCAAAAAAGATTTTCTTTTGTAAAGTTAATCCAGTCACCACCAAAGCCATCAGCAATCCAGAACCTGACTGTTCCTACCATCAAAATGGTGGCCACATTAATTGTTAAAGCTAATGTAAAAATATTTTTTAAATTCTTTTATAGGTATCTTCCTAAAGTACAAAATTAAAATGGCATGAATATATGACTCTTTAAAAACCATATCAAGTCACTTGGGCTGCTTTAGTTGCTACAAAACTAGGTAAACCTTAAATATTCCCAAGAGGACTACAGAAATAACATGATAAATATTAAAAAGAAACAAACTACGGATGCATGCAATAACCTGGATGTATCTAAAAAGCATTCATGCTAAGTAAAAGAAGCCATACAAGAGAGATTATGTGTTGTATGATTCCATTTATGTGTAATTCTAGAAAAGGCAAAACAGATTGGTGGCTCCCAGAGGCCGGGAATGGGAGTGAGAAGGAGAGAGACTGACTACAAAGGAGCCTACAGTAACTTTCCTGAGTGATGAAAACATTTTGAATCACAATTGTACTAATTGCTATGCAAATGAATATGCTTGTCAAAATGCATCAAGGCATACACTTAAAATTGCTGTATTTTATTTTACATAAATTACAAAGCTAATCCTTGAAGTGAAAACAACCAAACCAATGCTGATCCCCTCCTCCACCCTAGCCCTGGACCTGCACAAAGCATCAGCAGTAACTGTCTGAGAGACCGATCATAAGTTAATTTTCATTATATTTTGCTTTGTTTTCCTGATTTTCTATAATGTACAAGAATTACTTTCATAACCAAGAAAACCGCAACTAAGCAAGAACTCTATTTTATATGATAAAACTCAGTACAAATGGAATATAAGATACAGAAATGAAAACTCTTCCTTTCTCAGCATCTTTACACTATCAAATGTACATTGAGTCAAAAAAGATCCCAAGGAATCTTCCAAATCAAAGATTAAATTTTATTTAATATAGCTTGGTGATAAGTATTGTAAGTATTATTGTAAACTATCCCTTCTGAAGTAAAACCTTTGACTGGCAAATGAGTTTAGTAAGTCCAAAGTCATATTTACTAGAATATTTCATTCCTAAATCATGCTAAGTTAATCATGTCACTATTAGTCAAAGGACACTACTGATGGATTCTTTTATCTATAATTTCAATATACATAATTTTGTTATTTAAAAATAACATTTAACTTATTAGTTAACTCACTTAGAGTCCTCTTTCTCATCTTTTTCTTCTTCATCTTTCTTTTCCTCTTCTTTCTTTTCTATTTTCTCAGCTTTATCCTCTTCTTTTTCTTCTACTTTATCTTCTTGTGAGGGTCGGGCAATTTGCTGCTAGAACAGACCATCATTTGCAAAATTCAAAGGTAACAGAAATAGATCCTCAGATTACGAAGAAAAATATCTATATAAAAGTTTTTAAGTAGTTAGTAATCATTTACAATAAAATTGGTGGTCATATATTTAAAAGTCATTGTAGGGCTTTTTAAAGCATCCTTTATATATTGCTTAAAGGATCATACATACAAACCAAAAAAAATGCTCATAGTATCTGGACCCACCAAAGAGGTGAAAATGTTAAGATTTTTCACTTAGAAATCTTAAGTTGGGCTCGGCGCCTATAGCTCAACCGGCTAAGGCGCCAGCCACGTACACCTAAGGTGGCGGGTTCGAATCCCCAGCCCGGACCTGCCAAACAACAATGACGGCTGCAACCAAAAAATAGCCGGGCATTGTGGCGGGCGCCTGTGGTCCCAGCTACTTGGGAGGTGGAGGCAGGAGACTCGCTTGAGCCCAGGAGTTGGAGGTTGCTGTGAGCTGTAATGCCACGGCACTCTACCCAGGGGGACAGCTTGAGGCTCTGTCTCAAAAAAAAAAAAAGAAATCTAAAGTTGGTTCCTTCTTTTTTGCAACCCCCCACATCTACTCTGTCAATTAAGCATTCTAATTTTACATTAAAATTTAACAACACATACATAATTTATCAAACTATCTCCCTAGTATGGGGTACTTGATATGTCGTCAATTTTTTCACCATTATGGTTAATGCCATAAGCAACATCTTAAGTGTTTACACTTTGGGGGGAATTAATTTCCATTTAACAGAACTGTAGACAGCTATGGTCATTACTAAGACTGAAATAATTCAGAAAAATGCTAAAGATGTATAATAAAAAGAAAAGAAGTAAAATGGGTCAAATATTTCTAAGCTGGGCAGTCAGATTATGGACTACTTTATTTTGACGTCTCCTTTACTAAAATTGCAACTCTAAAGGAGAAAAGTGAAATTAACGTTGTGTTGAGTATTATTACAGTAGTCCTCCCCTTATCCAAGGTTTCATTTTCCAACATTTTAGCTACTTAGGGTCAACTGCAGTCCAAAAATAGGTGAGTAGAGTATGCTATTTGGAGAGAGAGACCACATTCTCATAACTTTTGTTAGAGTATGTTGTTATAATTGTTCCATTTTTATCATTATTGTTGCTAATCTTTTACGGTGCCTAATTTACAAATTAAACATTATCACAGGTATATATGTATAAGAAAAATCATAATGTACATGGGGTTTCATATTCATGGTTTCAAGTATCTACTAGGAATCTTGGAAGATATCCCTCTATAGATAAGGGGACACTACTATATTATTTAATTCAAAATTAAGACAGCATACCCTAATTAGGACTGAACTCCAACACATCTCTACAGAAAAGGGGTGTGGCCTGCATGCCTACCTCCATCCCCATCCTTTGCTGCTCTAGATTACTAAGCAAGCCCAACACAAATCCTTTTTTTTATTACGTTTTTAGTATTATCTAGGTTTTTTTAATTAAATCATAACTGTGTACATTAATGTATTTATGGAGTACAATGAGCTGGTTTTATATACAATTTGAAATACATCAAACTGGTTAACACAGCCTTTACCACACTTTCTTAATTATTGTGTTAAGACAATTATACTCTACACTTAGTAGATCTGACATGTACCTTTGTAAAATGCACCATAGGTGTGGTCCAACCAATTACCCTCCCTCCACTCATCCTTCCCCCTCCCCTCATCTCCCCTTCCCCCTTCATCTTGGGCTATAGTCGGGTTATGGCTTTTTATATGTAAGTGTGGGTGCTTAAATATTGGTTTCATCGTAGAGCTGGGTACATTAGATAATTTTTCTTCCATTCTTGAGACACACTCTGTTAAGAAGAATATGTTCCCGCTCCATCCATGTAAATATAAAATACAAATCCTAAACATACTCAGCACTTACATGACCTTCTACCCTTCCCTGCCTGCTAAAGTCCTACATATCCTCTGAAATTTAGTTCAAAATGCTACATCTCCTGTGACCCTTTCTTTTTTTTTTTTGAGATGGAGCCTCAAGCTATCCCCCTGGGTAGAGTGCCACAGCATCAAGCTCACAGCAACCTCCAACTCCTGGGCTCAAGCGAGTCTCCTGCCTCAGCCTCCCAAGTAGCTGGGACTACAGGCGCCCGCCATGCCTGGCCATTTTTTGGTTGCAGCCGTCATTGTTGTTTGGCAGGCCCGGGCTGGGGATTCAAACCTACCACCTTAGGTGTATGTGGCTGGCGCGTTAGCCGCTTGAGCCACAGGCACCGAGCCGACCCTTTCTTGATTTCCACAGAGAAACTCCCTCCGCTGCAGGTCTATACCTGCTCATAGCACTGTCACCAGCTGACCTAGAATCTGGTTATCAGCATCTGTCTGGCTCACTGTGTTATCGTCTCCTCAGAGATAAGAACACAGTCTTATGCATCTAAGCATCCCCAGCTCCTTGGAGAGTTTCTAGACCATGGTATGTGTCTGCATGTTTTGGATACAACAAATATAAAATTCCTTTATTCTTGTGATTTGAAAAGTTTTTAACCCACCCATCCCCAACTTTCACTCTTATCCAGGCTAATGTCAATGTTGCCTCATAATAACTCCTTCTGTCTTACCTGTTCCTTTCACCAGACAACATAGAAGGGATACATTTATTTTACATAAATTTTCCTTAATTTATAATAGCTTCTCAAAGTCTTCTACCTACTCACCAAAACTAAAATCTGACTTATTCTTTAAGATAACAAGGACTCCACTGGCCTCTCCCAAAGAAGTCCCGTATTTGCCTCCTTATAATCCATGAGGGAAGGAAGAAGAATCTGTATCCTTTATCCCTACCTGCCACTTCTAGAACATTGCTGAACTGTGATATTTTAAAAATATCTTCTTTTTCACATTCCACGCAATCTCCCTATGACTTTTTCTCTTTTGCTGTTACCGAATGATTTCTTGAATACTCCCTATATCCATGTAGATAATTTCATCATGCAGCTCATCAGGCTATGGCATTACTCTTCAAATTTCAAAATGCACATGAATGGCTTTTATAACACACTCCCCTCAATCAACTTAACATCCCATAATTCATATATGTTTAGGACATGTTTATTAAACTCACCCTAGAGAAATCACCAACACCTCATCATCAAAGGGTGCTGGTTCACCTCACAGATCCCCAAATCAAAGTTTTCTCTCCAAGTATGACCATCCATTAATTCCCCATCCATATCACACCTTCCTGCTGCTTTGCCCTCATCATGACTTTTGATCCCTTATTTTATCAAATTTTCACAGTCCATGAAGAAGAACTATGGCTCTGACCCCACTTGCTAAATCATTACAATACAAGGATTCCCTCAATCACTTTATCTTGCCTTTTTAATTTCTCTCACCCTGGCTAACTGTTAGTTTCCCTTTTTTCTGGGCATTTATTATGACAGAAAACTGAGAAATCAGGGAGATTTTCAAATCTGTATTCTTCAACCATGAACATATTTGCTTTATGGGAATGTTCTCCTCAGCTCTGACTTCTTAGCATATGACAGTCATCGTAAAAAATGCCAATAACCTCACCCTGCCACAAAAGTAACAGTAAGATGAACTGAACCAGTAAGATGGCATACTAACAACAAAGCCTGCCTTCTGCCTATCAAGGGAGCTATGTAACCCCAGAAAAATGGTTTACAGCCTTAAGACATGATGGGAACATGTCAACTCAGCAAAAGCCAAAGAAAGACATTCCCTTAGACTTGGATGACACATACAATCTTATTTCCATAATACTTTTCTAATGCCAAACAGGGCTTTAGACTATGTAAGTAAACACACACATTCCCTGCTGCTTAAAATCCAGCCAACAGCTAACTTCACTCCTCTATCCTAGTTCTAGAGATTAAGAACCAACTATAGCATCTGCTTAAACCCGTCAATGTGAAGAAGATGGTAGCTCTTAGCTGTTAGCTCTACACACAGTGTACAAAAGATCTGAAGAAACAGAATTACTGCACTGGAAATAAAAACAAATGTGGAGGCAACACGTTGCCAGATTTCAGGTTGTATTACAAAGCTATAGTGATCAAAACAGCATGGTAATGGCACAAAAATAGAGACATAGATCTATGGAATAGGATAGAGAATCAAGAGATGAACCCAGCCACATATCGTCATTTAATCTTTGATAAGCCTAACAAAAACATGCAATGGGGAAAAGAATCCTCATTTAACAAATGGTGTTGACAGAACTGGTTATCCACATGTAGAAGACTGATACTGGACACACACATTTCACCACTGACAAAAACTGATTCTTGTTGGATAAATCTTTTAAATTGAAAACATGAAACAATAAAAATTCTAGAAGAGACTACAGGGAAAACACTTGAAGATACTGGCCTGGGAAAAAACACCCTCCCCCTAGCAATTGCAGCAAAATCAAGCTAAAAATCTTTACAGCTAAAAGTATCACAAAGCGAACAGACAGCCTGTAGAATGGGAGAAAATTTTTGCATGTTATCAATCTGACAAAGGCCTGATAACTAGAATCTACACAGAACTCAAATTAAAAAGAAAAAGTTCAAACAACCTTCTCTATAAGTGGGCAAGAGATTCAAACAGAAACTTCTTGGATGATGACAGACGAATGGCCAACAAACACATGAAAGAATGCTCATCATCTTTAATCATCAGAGAAATGCAAAGCAAAACCACTTTGAGATATCACCTAACTCCAGCAAGATTAGACCACATCACAAAGTCTCAAAACCAGATGCTGGCATGGATATGGACAGAAGGGAACCCTTCTACACTGCTGGTGGGAATGCAAACCAATACAGCCTTTTTGGAGAGAAGTATGGAGAATCCTCAAAGATCTAAAAGTAGACTTTCCATTTGACCCTGCAATCCCATTACTAGTTATCTATTTATTGCAGCTCAATTCATAATTGTCAAGTCGTGGAAGCAACCTAAGTGCCCATCAATCCATGAATGGATG